AAAGTTACAGTCAGCAAGATGGTGGCATAGGAGTTCTCCAGGTCCCACACTCCTAGCGGAAATCCAAACAACAGCTACCCACAGAGAAGAACACCTTCATGAATACCACTGAACTTGAAAGAGAGGCTAAGACACCCCTTTGGACCACAGAATGGAGAAAAGCTATATTAGTAGGGTAAGAGGAATGGTTTCAATTTGACCAGGTCACCCCCCTGAAGCCTGCACAGCACCACACCCAGAGGATTTCCCTGGGCCCACAGTTCTACAGTGGGAAAAGAGAGTTGGAGGCAAACATTCAGCTTTGCCACCATTTTGGGACCCTTAGCAGGAGGCCCACTCCTTATCGTCCCATGCAAAACATTGGAAGTACTTGCAGGACTAGACCGCCTGGGGTCAATTAGAAACAAAGAACAAGGGTGCAACTCACAGCAACCATTATACAAATCTTGGTGGTGGCTCTGAATTCTAGCCAACTGAGGCACTCCACTACAGAAACTAGCCAACAGCATTCTCCTGCAGGAAGCATGGTCAACAGATCTGCCAGGCTCCAGTCCCTACCCAGCTTCCCCATTCAGCACTGGTGCTCCTCTTAATCCTTCTCCAGGCTGAGAAGCAAGGACATGTTAGCAATTATCCATGGAGGGGAGTATCTCTGCCAAACCAACCCCAGTGACCAAACAGTGAGGCCCCACCAAGCTCTATTGCTCTCCTTAAGCCGTCCCTAGGCTGAAAGGCAAGGGCAAGTCATCAATTATCTGAGATGGGTAGCATCTGGCCCTGCCCAACTCCAGCAGCCAAGTGGTACAATCCCACCAAGCCCTGGTGCTCTGCTTAAGTCTTCTCAATCTGGGAGACAAGTGCAGGTTAGAAAATATCTGAAGAGGAAAATACCTGGCCCCGCCCAACGCCAGCATCTGCGTGGTAACTCTACAAAGCCTCAGTGCTCTGCCATGGCTTCCTCAGGCCAGGAGGAAAGCCCACATTCAAACACAGCTGTAGAGCATAGCCTCTGGTCTGGCCTATCCCAAGTTGCCAAGCAGTAACCCAAGAGACCTTGCCCAGCTTCAGAGCCCAGCCAAGCTATAGATTAGAAACAGCAATACTATCTAGCCAGGGAAGACAACCTGCAACCCTGCCCAATAAGAGGCTAACATAGAGCCCAGCCAGCAGCTCCACCTTATTGTAGAGTACAGCCAGTAGTCTCATCAGACCACAGAGCACAGCCAACAGTTCCACTCGACCTCAGAGCACAGGTAACAAACAAGCCAGCTCAACAGCAACCCAATAGCAGGGTCTGCCTGTCTGGGGTCACTACCAGTTGATTCATTCAGAAAAAGAAGCTAAATAGTGAAGGTCTATCATTGTGAAAGAACACCTGCAAAGGCCAGAAGAGGTGGGCATTTCTTCAAATCTGTAGACACTAATGCAAGGACACAAGGTTTACAAAGAATCAGGGAAATAAGACACAACAAAAAGAAACTAATCCAGTTCCAATAATGGACCCTGAAGAAATAGAGATCTATAAAATGACTGACAGAAAAATCAAAATAATCCTCTTAAAGAAGTTCAGGGAGCCGGGCGCGGTGGCTCACGCCTGTAATCCTAGCTCTCTGGGAGGCTGAGGCGGGCGGATTGCTCGAGGTCAGGAGTTCGAAACCAGCCTGAGCAAGAGCGAGACCCGTCTCTACTATAAATAGAAAGAAATTAATTGGCCAACTAATATATATAGAAAAAATTAGCCGGGCATGGTGGCGCATGCCTGTAGTCCCAGCTACTTGGGAGGCTGAGGCAGAAGGATTGCTTGAGCCCAGGAGTTTGAGGTTGCTGTGAGCTAGGCTGACGCCACGGCACTCACTGTAGCCTGGGCAACAAAGCGAGACTCTGTCTCAAAAAAAAAAAAAAAGTTCAGGGAACTACAAGAAAAAAACACATAAGAAATGAAATAAAATTTGGAAAACAATTCATGAACAAAATAATAAGTTTGACAGAATAATAGAAATAATTAATAACTAAATAGAAATTCTAGAGATAAGGAATATATTAACTGAACTGAAAAATTCAATAGAAAGCTTCAACAGCAGACTTGATAAAGCAGAAGAAAGAATAAGTGAGCTCAATGACATAACATTTGAAATTACACAGCCAGAGGAACAAAAAGAAAGAATAATTAAAAAGACTGAAAAAGGCCTACATGAATTTTGGGATACCATCAAGAGAAACGACTTTCACATAATAGGATTCTAAGAAAGAGAAGTGAAAGACAAAAGCTCAGAAAGCAGATTTAAGAAAATTATGGCTGAAAACTTCCCAAATCTGGGGAAAGATGACAAGATCCAGGTACACGAAGCTAAAAGACATCCATTCAAATTCAACCCTAAAGCATTAAGAGATAAGAAACATCTCATATTCAGAAGAGTCCCAAAATATATTTCTCAGCAGAATCCCTGCAAGCCAGAAAAGAGTAGAATAATATATTCAAAGTGCTGAAGGAGAAAAAAAACTCCAGTCAAGAACACTTTACTTGGCAAAGCTGTCCTTCACAGATAAGGGAGAAATAAATACTTTCCCAAACAAAAGAGAGTTAGTTCATCACCACTAGGCCTGCCTTAGAGGAATTTCTAAAGGGAGAGTTATTTAAGCTGAAATGAAACACTCCTAATTAATAACACAATACTTATTAAAGCAAAAACTCTCAATGGTAAAATTAATATATAATCATATTCAGGATACTCTAATACTGTAAAGATAGTGCATAAAGCAATTTTATCTCTATGAGGGTTAAAAAACAAAACTGTTAAAAACGAATGCAGTTAAAATAAATTGTTAAGGGATACATATTATAAAAATATATAAATTTTGGCATTTAAATCATAAAAGCTGGGGAGAGAATGAAGTATAGAGTTTTTTTATATAATGAAAGTTGTTATCAGCTTAAAATAGCTTGTTATAAATATAAGATGTTTATGTAAACCTGATGGTAAACACAAAGCAGAGAGCTACAGTAGTTGCACAAAATATAGAAGGAAATGATTCAAGCAAACCACCAGAGAAAATCATCAAACCACAAGGAAAGTCAGCAAGAGGGAAAGAAAGAAACAAAGGATTTACAGAACAACCAGAAACAAATTACACAATGGCAGTAGCAAGTCCTTACTGATCAACAATTACCTTGAATGTAACTGGATTAAATTCTCAATAATAATGTATAATATATTTCAAAATAACTAAGAGAGTAAATTTCAAATGCCTTACCACAAAAGTGAAGTGATGGCTATGTTAATTAGTTTGATTTAATCCTTCCACATTATACATCATATCATCACATTGTATCTCATTATGTATAGAGTTTATTTTCTTAATTAAAAATTAATTTTTTAAAATTATAGGCTACAAAATGTTATTTAAAAAAGAAAAATATCCAAATCTTCATATAGAATATGAGACATCTAATTCCTAAGCAACATTACCTGGTTTCATTCATATTAATGTAAAGAATAAATGCAAATAATATTTTTAGTATATGATTCTAAAACTGTACATAAATTTAACTTCTTTTATTTATTAAACAGGCACTTGGCTTAAGGTACTTTGTACTTTAAGTACTTTGGACACCATGGAAGATGTAACAATGAATTGCAAGATAGGCTATCTGTTCTATAAAAGGTTACACAATTTTAAGAAAGAGAAAGTGGGTGTATATATAACAATATCAAGGCAGTGTGTGTAAAATGATGGGATCAGGAACCAATGGGCTTGGGCATTCACAGGAGAAATAAAACTTTTAACAGAGGGAATGAGAAAAGGTTACATTCAGAGAGGACCAGTTGGAATTCAACTACCACGGACGCGGGACCTGAATATTCCCAGGAAGAAAGGGGCCTGAGTAACAGCAGAGGCTAGGAAAGCACTGGAATTCCTCAGACCAGACTAGCTATTTACTGAGTAACTATTTATGTGACTAATTAGAGATTAGGAAGAGAACTTCAGGTCACACCATGGAGACCTTGAACAGCAAGCGAAAGAATTCACATTTCCTTTAATAGGCAGTGCAGAGCCACAGAGGCTTTCTGAGATGGCAAGTGTGGCTATCAAAGCTGTACTTTAAGGAAATTAGTTTAGTGGTGGTCAACGATGATAGGAGGAGAGGAAAGCCCACGGAAAGCCCAGAGTCAGGGGGCCTGAAAGGAGGGTTATGGCCCTGGTCCAGTTGAAGTAACAGGAAGAGAAAGGAAGGAGCGGGAGGGAGAGACACTGCAGGAGTAGAACAAACAATGCTTGAAGATTGGAAGTGGGAAACAAGAGAGAGGGCTGATTCAATGATGACTCAGATTTGGGGCCTGAGGGATTGCAAAAACAGAAGTCAAAGGAAAGTCTGAATTAGTTCAGAATTAATAGATCACAGATTTAATAAGGAATAGATTAATAGACAGATATAGATTTAATAGTTAATATATTATAGAGTACTCTACATTAGAAGTGAAAGTTGAGGCTACTTAAATAGACTCCCCAATTGTGACATATATTTCTAACACAAATAACTGAATATTTGTTTATGTCAAAAACGTCCCATAGTGTTATATATTTTGTGTCCTTCCCATAGTATTTGTATCCTATAAGACGCAACACTGGATCTGACAAAATACCTGAGAATATAGAAGTGGGCTGGGGCAGGAAGTTTATATATATTTAATTGAAGCTAATATAACCACAATGAGCTATGGCATTTTACATTCCAAATATATTCCTTGGAAATTTTCATCACTAAAGTTTAGAGGTTGAAACACTAACCAAATCTATTCAAATTAATTTATCTCCATTCAAACTGATTTCTCTTTTTCTCTGAAATCAACACTGTTTTCTAGATGACAGAATTAATTACCATCAAGAATAATGTATTTCATAAGAGTATAAATCTCAACCTTGATTTTATAAGAGCATTGATACTTATGTTATTATGTTTGCATGTTCTTATTGACACTATCTCTTACTTACGAATATACCTTCTGATGCTACTCTACTTTAAACCATACTATCTTTATATTGAGCTGCTTCTAAGAGTTATTCATCAAAACATGTGTTCTCCAACCCTCACCTGTTTTTGGGTTCTCTGGAGGGCTGAGTTTCAGATGCTGGTCTTCTGATAAAAGGCTCTCATTGATATCATACAGTGGATCATCCAAGAAAGAGGGCCTTTTCAGTCTCCCAATGCCAAGAGTTTTCGACATAAAATAGTCTTTTGTGTCACTAACAACCTCATCCTTGGAAAATTGGGAGCATGTCATATTCTCTGCTTCAGTGACAAGAGCTTTTGACATGGAATGCCCCGTCAAGGCTTTAGTGAGATAGTAGCCTTTAGAAGCTTCACATCCTGCACTGTCAAGCATAGGAGCGTCTTCCACCTCAGTCTTCTGGACCTCAGTTTCTGACCCATTTAGTGACTCAGAGATGATGGATCCGGAGAGCTGGTGGAATGCGGGTGTTACATCCTCAATGTCTTTGGTTCCTCTTTCTGAAGAAAGTCTAATGATGGATTTTTGTTTGAATGTGCATTCATCCAGAAGACACTTTAACTGTTCCTCAGAGAGCAGCGATGTGGAATCTAACTGATGAAACAAACCAAAAGTTTACATAGTCAATTGGCTCAGTAAACACATTTACTTTTGGTATGCTTCCAGTAATATAATATAAATGCAAGTGCCATGAAACCCCTTACACAACACATGCAGATAGGAAAATAATTCATTTTAAAGTATCCAAAAGTGCAGGGGAAATGTCATAATCTTAAATAGATGTTTCTCTGCCCCGAACCATTCCTCAGCATGAACCTTACCACCATTCAATTCCTTAACTGGGAAAAAAAAAAATCTCAGGCAAACAGGGCAGACTACCCTTGCCCCTGGGGATTCACCACTCCTATGTCTGTCCACAACTTTCAGCAGACAATACTACTGAAGACAGAAAAGGAAGGGTGAATGGGTGGCGCATCCTGAGTTGCTTCAAAGCTACAGGTCTAGGCAGAGGCCAGGGGCATTCCAGGAGCAGTGTATTTTGGGAGAAGGATTTAATCACGCACACTTAATCTCTGCTTGTAAAGGTTACCAGGGTTGGGTGTTTCAATCAAAACCTTAAGGATCTAAAAATATTTTTTTCTTCTCATGATATTCTCAGGAAATACATATAAACAAATCAAATACAGAGCCGTGTTCTACAAGAACAGAAGAGCACGCCACTTGAGATGCAACACTCTCAAAAAGGAATAAGTTTAAAACACATTGAAACGTACTGAAAAAGATTTCTCCTTCTCTAAAAAAAAATCAGTGTCTTCCTTGATTTATGCAGTGGATTATTTAGGAAAACATTAATCCTCCTTAACAGAGGAATGAATTTTCTGAGAACAAGAAGTCCTCATAAGAAAACTTAATCAGAAATTGCAATGGCTTTAATTTCTACTTCAGCAAAGTAAAATAATATCATTGCCTACTTTAAAAGTACATAGTAAAAGAATAACTAAATATCCTGTTTACGTAAAGCAGTGGGGAAAAAAAGCTGTCGTCAGAACTGGTGTAGTTAATTCCCCATGATTATGTAATGCCTCTAATGTAGCTAATAAAAATAGTATGTAAAACAAGTTTTGTACATAAAACTAGTTTTTAAAATATATCACATTTTAAAATTATATTTAACTTATCTATATTAAAACTAACTTTCATAGTAGCAAGGGTTACTATGAGCATGAAAATAACAAGAAATTATTTGGAAATATATTCTAAATAATTATATCAACTTCAAAATTCAGATAACTCACCCTAAAGTTAATATACAGGTCAAGAAATAGGATTTGGATTCTATATTAGCAAACTCTACTTTTAATCACTAGATATTTCAGATATCCACATGGAGTACTTTATCCATTATCAAGAGCATTCCCTACACCCTACTATGTAAACCTAATCAGCTAGAAAATGAAAGCAGTCCTTCTACACCACTAGGCACTTAAAATACACTTTCAAAATTTGCTTATATAAAATTGCTCATAATGAACAGATAATTCCCGAGGATTTATAAAGAGCCCACTGAGAGTCATCCTCATTAAACATCTTTACCAAAGGCTTATCATTATAAAATTTCCAGACATCAGAAAAAATAAATCATTCTATATTAGAGCAGGAGGATAAAAGATTATGGGAAGGAGGGAAAAAAAGGTAGGGGGAGGATTGGTAGATTATATATTATCTGATATGTTTGACCATTTCCAAAAATAATACTGATAGGATAGACACATGACAGTTCTGATGGTATATTTGGCTAGATACACAGAAATGAAGCAAAAGAAAAGGAAAGCAATTATGCACGCTGGGAAAAACAAAAGGTTATACAAAAAGAAAGGAAAGGCAGTGCATTCAGATAGATACACAGAAAACTAAGCAAAAGGAAAATAAGATGATTATTAACTCTAGGGTAAATACAAAGTTTTATAAGAAAGAATACCATAGGATAATACTTGGTTCTGCTGTGGCTAATATTTACACAGTCATCATAATGTAAATATGGATGATTGAAGTAACCAAAAATTGTGATTCAACTATTTTGGGGAAATGGGAAAAAAGAGAAAGGGTGTTTGAAGTAACAAAGTTAAATTCTTAGCTATCATCACAGGAACCCCATACATAATGTCTAAAATTAATCAGTTAAGAAAGAACATTATTAAGAAACAATATAGTGATAAACATTAGAGGAATGCATCTAAAGGAATTAAAAGTTGTTGACTCTGGAGAGCAAATCAAGGGGTAGAGCAGGCTGAGGCATGGGAATGCCATTTTAGTTAAAAACATCCTAACATAACTCTTTCTGTAACTATCTTATTACTATAGTAAAAATAAAAATTAATTTAAGATGCAAAAATAAAACTAATTTAAATGTATACAAATATTTCAAATAAAAATGAATTTAGAAATAAAAAATAAAAATTTAAACTATTCAAATGAAATACCCACCGATTATATGTCTAGACCTCAGAAGCAGATCCAGGTTTCATGGAGCCAGAAATTTATATAATTTAGGAGCAGAGGGAGGGCACTTATTTAAAGAACAAAGAATATAAAATTACAAACATAAAATTAGGTATAAAAGTAAGTTTCTAGCCGGGCGCGGTGGCTCACGCCTGTAATCCTAGCTCTCTGGGAGGCTGAGGCGGGCGGATTGCTCGAGGTCAGGAGTTCGAAACCAGCCTGAGCAAGAGCGAGACCCCGTCTCTACTATAAATAGAAAGAAACTAATTGGCCAACTAATATATATAGAAAAAATTAGCCGGGCATGGTAGCACATGCCTGTAGTCCCAGCTACTTGGGAGGCTGAGACAGAAGGATCGCTTGAGCCCAGGAGTTTGAGGTTGCTGTGAGCTAGGCTGACGCCACGGCACTCACTCTAGCCTGGGCAACAAAGCGAGACTCTGTCTCAAAAAAAAAAAAAAAAAAGTAAGTTTCTTTTTTTTTATATAAGAATGTGATAAAGATCACCACAAATCACTGGAGTCTTAGAGAGTCTAATCCATCTCCTGTAGTATTTCTTTAGGTCATTGACAAGAAACACTTATAGAAATGTTTGCTGGTTGCAACCCAGCTTCCTCTCCCCGCTCCAAAGCTCCTACAACTGAGGGGCCCTGAAGCTGAAGCTCCACTGGGTCCTCTGAGATAAAACATTACATATTTCAGCCTGTGTGTACACAGAAATAAGCTGAACTACAATTACTCTGATCCTCTTTGTGGAAGCGGCCAGAAAGGAAAGAAAACACAGAAGACTAGAACCTGGGCTTCCATCCAAGCTTTGCCACCTTGAGCATGTCACCTAAATTCTCGGGGCCCATCTCCTATATCTGTGAAATGAAGAATTGAAGAAGGTAATCTCTAAATTAACTTCTAACCCTAAGATCGCTTTTTGTGAACTACTCCAAAAATAACAATACATTTTAAAAATAAACTTTTCTATTGACTTTCAAGTGTAGCCTGGGTAGAATTATGAAAACAAAACAATAATAAAAAGAGAGCTTTTAATTCTTTAGCTCCTTCACAATACCAATCCTAAGCTTTTATAAAATAACTAAAAATTCTGTGGTCTTAAACATTGTAAAACAGAAGTGAATCGAATACATTAAGCTCTCCGATGAAATTAATCTAATTACAGTGTTTCTGGGTGGCAATGCAGATCAGAAACTTTAACACAGCCCATCTTTCGCATCTTTTGATTCCTAGCAGAGCTTTGCCCACAGTAAAAGCTCAGTACATGACTATTGTCAGAATCAAATGAGTTAAGGACTATATTAACGTAAGTTATTTACCTATGCTGAACTGGACTAAACCAGGGCTCTATCACTAACATCCCTAACTATCCTCAGTAGTTAAGGGACCATAGCTCATAGCCTTTGTCCAGATTGCTCTTAACACTCCTGAGCTAACGAGCTCCATAACTGAACCACTCACTGTGCATGCACAGTCAAGCAGCCATCTGTTCAAGTATTCACCTCAAGTATTCATCTTTCATGCCAGCTCTAATTTCCCAGTATTTCATAAACAAGTTATTATTCATACCATTCCTGTCCTTCATAAAATTCAACACAGTACATCTCAGTCGTTATTTTTCCAGATCACAGCCCAGTCTGTTTTCCTTCCTTATATCTTCCCGTCTTCATTTTAGTAGCCCTGTTATGAATCTTCTTTCTTGTTTCAGCCAATACACACTCATTCCGCAGTCAAGGAGTAAATGTATTAGATTTTTTCATCAGGAAAATAATATATACGACACTTGTGGTGTTAGTTCCCGTGCATCTCACTGGTCTTATGGGCATACCAGGTGATGTCTTACAAAATAATAATAACTAGCATTTATTAAGCATTTATAAGCCTACTCTAGGCCAGACACTGCTCTATGCATATTACATTTATTGTGCCTTTAATTTTTTGCAACGAATTTATATGGGAAATAAGTTTATAGATACTATTGATATTCACATTTTATAGATGAAAAAATTGTGGCATTAAGACATCAAATAACCTCTCTAAGGTCATACAGCTACTAAGTGGTGGACTTAGGATGTGAAGCCAGGTGGTCTAGGTCCAGAGCCTATGTGCCCAGCCACTAGGCTACATTGCCACACTGTAAATGAGTTCTCCCACTACTATTCTCCAAGAGTCCTTTTCCCAACTGACATTCATTTTTCTGTCCATTCTCCCAGATATAAAAACTCTTCCTGCAGAGTATTTCTCTTAACTTGGGAATTTATTACCAGAGTAGCTTAGTGTTTTATGCAAATTTAAATAATGTTCTCTCTTTTGACTCATTTGAAAAAAAGAAAAGAAAAAGAAGACAGCGAGAGCTCCACTCCTAGGGCACCCACTGTTTATACTTCTCCACCCAGATAAATGCCAGTTTGGTGTAGGAGCTAAATCTGATGAGGAGTGAACTCGTCATTCCTGGAGCTGTAAGACGCACCGTGTAGTTCCTCACTTGCCTCCCTTCTTGTGCTATATATCCGGAGTTTCCCCAACCATAAAAATCTCCAGGTATTTAGGCAATGGATTTGTTGACAAGGCAATCAAGATTATGTCCC